CTATTTATGGGATTAATTAACTTAAATTAGGTTGGTTATGATCCTATATTTATTTTCCAGAAACTTTATAGTTTTTATTTCAAGATTAAATTATTTATTGATTACACATGATAATGGATGTTACGTAAGTTTCAACTCCAGCTATAATTTTATCTGCTACCATTATTCAATTTAGATATATTGCATAGGATGTGCCAACACCCATTTTAAATAACCAAATAAGCTGTTAACTAATTTGCTTGGGTGACCATTTTAAATGGTGAACTCCAGGTTACAAAACAGCAACTGTCAGTTCAACTAACCACCTCAGTTGGTTAGTTGACAATAACGGCTCCCCTGCCCAAGCAGTCTTCTCAAGTTTTTTGTAAGTTTATTTCAAATCAACCTGGCACCTCCCTCAAAGGATTCTATACTTCACACTACCGGGGCAGTTTATCAAGATGGCTTATGAGTAGACTAAATTTACACAGCACATTTAGAAAAGACATTTATTTAACGTCATGACCAGACTATTACATTTAGCAATGGTGGCAGGACATAGCTGCTACAAAGAAGACATGTTTTAGACTATACTCGTGTGCGGGCAAAAGAACTTGAGGACTATATTTGTGACTAATTGTATAACGGGTTATTTTAGTTTCTGTTCTGTGGAAAGTGTAAAGCATTCCAACAAGGTTTTGTTTTGTTTGTTTTTTTAAATCATTTTATTGAGGGCTCATACAACTCTTTTCACACCATATATACATCAATTGTGTAAAGCACATTTGCCAACAAGGGGTTTTAATGTAGTTTTTCTTTTTCTTATTTTTTTTTCCGCCCGTACTGTTGATTACTTTACAGTTTTAACTTTTACATTTAGGTCTGTGATGAATTTTGAGTTAGTTTTTGTGCATGGCATGTAGCATTGGTCCTGTGTCATTTTTCTACATGTGGGCATTCAGATTGACCAACAGCATTTGTTAAAAAGACTGCTTCTCCATTGAATGGATTTTGACCCTTTGTCGAGGATGAGCAGTTTTCAATTCTGTTCCACAATTTGTCATTGATTATCGTAAGTCTGTATTTGTTTTGAGATAGGGAAGTGTGAGGTCTCCTACTTTTTACATTGTTCTGCTTTCACATTGCTTTAGCTATTCAGAGTCTCATTCCTTTCCATATAAAGTTGGGAATTAGTTTTTTCCTATTTCATTAAAGAATGTTGCTGGTGTTTGTATCGAGTCCATTATATCTACGCGTGCTCTTGGTAGTATTGGCATTTTCACAATGTTAAATCTACCAATCATTGAGCATAGACTATGTTTTAATTTATGTAGATCTCTTTAATTTCATGCAGTAGTGTTTTATAGTTTCCCTTGTGTTTTATGTCTTTGATTAGGTATTTTCCTACATATTTTTACCTTTGGGGAGCTATTATAAATGGTGGTGTTTTCTTGATTTCCCTTTTGAGGTCTTCATCAGAAGAACCCAAATAATTTTGAGGGTTGATCTTGTACCTTGCCACGCTGCTGAGTCCTATTATTCCAGTAACTTTCTTGTAGTATTTTGGGGATTTAAAAAAATGTATATAAGAATAGTTTATTTCTTCCTTTCCAATTTAGAGATCTTTCCTTTCTTGTTTATTGTTCTTCCTAAGCCTTCCAGTACAATACTGGATAATGGTGATGATAAAGAGCACCCTTGTCTTGCTCCCATTCTTAGAGGAAGAAAGCAAATATTTTTTACTTGCATTTTTTCTGGTTGTGAGAGGTGAAGTTTTACAGCAATATTATATATGACAAGTACAATTAAGCTCTCAAAGTTAACTAAATATGCATTATATTTGCATCATATGTCTAGATGTATAAGTAAGAAGTTCAAAGTATTCTGTAGTTCAAGCAAAAATGAAATTCTGTCCTTATTTTTTCAATGAGGACTTTAAGTTACCAAAGGCAGATTCTTTCTATTAAATTTACCCAGTACCTCCAAAGAAAGTTCAACTTTAAGCAACATTTCAGAGGAAGTTACAAAATGCTTTCATAAGACATTTAAATTTAAAGAGAAGATCTGTAAAAATGGGTAAAGCAGAATATAAATGGATAATTGCTGATATTTCTCAATCCAATACTTTAACACAAAAAGAATTTTGTAACCAATAATCAAATTATCCATGGAGCTTTCCAGTAGATCTTTAAACATTAAATTGACTATAACTTTCTTCTGAAATGATATTATCAAAACCAGGTGTGCTTGTGAATAACTGTAAATTCTCTACTTTTTTGTCTATCACTTTGGAAAGAACGTGAATGCAGAAGTCAGAAGGTTTGAGATTAAATCACAGTTATACATTTCAATAGTGTTATGTTACTTCCTGTTAATTAGTTGAACTGTTTAATATTCTGTTTTGCCATTAGGAACTGAGAAAACCCATGTAGTAGTTGTGAACATCAAAATAATATGGTATATGAAAATATGTGGAAAAAGGACTATAGAAATGCTAGTCCTATTAAGAGTAGTAATGACAGTGTCAGTAACAACAGCATATTATACAAAGCATTATCAGAATGTGGTGTTGCTGCCATTTGGGTTTAGAAGATTGATCTATTTGAATCAAACCACAAATTGAAGCTTGAGAGATAAATGTCATGCAATTCTGATGTCAAATTGATGGTTGCAATCAATATATGTGATTTTTTTATGATCAAGTAACACTCAGATCTATTTTATTATTATTATTTGGCAATCAAAAGTATTATCAGAATATTGTAAACTTGGGAAGAAACCTTACTCTTTGTTTTGCTATTTGAAGTTTTAGTTGCTCTGATAACAAATAGGATAGAAATGAAGCTAGTAATGAAAAGTGAAAATTAGGGCATTAAGAGAAAGTTTTGTTGCAATCATTGATATATTATTTTCAGAAGTAATAATAATATTAATATTTGTTAAAACTTGAGTTCTGATTTCTCACTGCCATCGAGTCAATTCCACCTTCTAAGACAGAGTAGAACTTCCCCATGTGGGCTTCCCAGACTGTAACCCTTTATGGGAGTAAAAGGCCTCATTTCTCTCTCCCTTGAAGTGGCTGGTGGGTTAAAACTGCTAATGTTCCAGTTAGCAGCCCAATGAATAATCCATTATGCCACCAGAACACCTGAGTTCTGATGTAAGAGGTTAAAAATTGTCTTTCAAGCATATAGTGTTAGTTCACTCTTAATCCAGAAAAACAAAACAACATAGAGGTTAAAAATAGCTCTATTCTCTACCAGTAGAGAAAGTAATAACCATCTCTTTGCTTAATGAATCCCACAGAAATTCACATCTGGAGGTCTGGGAGCAATGCTTGAAAAGCGCATTGTGAACCAGCACTTCAGAAAGAGGAACTATTATTAATGTTCATTTTTTTAATCTAAAGCTTACAAGCATGCATATGCACAGAGCTCAACTTATGCATTTACCTAATAGAGTCTCTCCTTTTTAGTAAGTGTGTCTTTCTAAGATGCCACAGAATGGGAGGCAACAAATATGTTGGCATCAGCACTGGTAATCCTTCATCTGATGGACCTCTTTCTCCACTCTACTTTGATTCGAAACAATAGCAAGTGGGAAGGTCATATCCTGCCTCAGTGCCTGAATGCAAGGTGTTAAAATGGCCTCACAGCAGAAAAAGAACATTGAAGCCACTGTTCTAAGATAGGATTCTCTGCAGCAGAGAATCAAAACAGCTGATTGTGGAAAATATATTTGTGCCACATGTATGCCTGATCCAACCCACCTCTCTTCAACCCAGACCCTGTCTTCCTCAATTTAAAGACATATAACATTGACCTGGTATTTTCATAAAAAGTACCTTCATCTACCAGGCCAGCAAAAGGTAGGGCAGAGTGGTATATAATCTCCTTCTAGTTTTGATTTTCTTTTAGATTGTTCTCAAGTGATACTTTAAAAACTGCTTAATAATAAAATTATTAAATTTATTTGTCATTAATTGGGTACACTTACCTGTAATCAGCATACCATGATTAGAATCATACACCATAGAATAAATCTGCATGTCTCCTGGTCCACCCTGGCTGTCGTGGAAAACTTGTAATAGCGAAAGGGTTTGTATATCCCATACTCTGAAAACCTGGGGAATGAAGGAAAGGGTTTACCACTCTTTAAACTTTTTCCACTCAAAGACATTTAAGTGAAACATTTTCAGGGTCCAAAATAAGATCTTATAAATTTATAGCAAGTAGGATTTAAATGTTAAGTACTCATTTGCTCAATTCTAAATTAGTCCTTGGTTTAATTACTGTAAGCTCATATCAGAAGACAATAGCAGCAGTTATTAAAACTTTGCTTGTGACATACTTCTACAAACTGGATCTTTCTGTCATTCTAGCGTTTCTTTAAGTCTCTTTAAGAATTTGTGGGAATAACAAAAGACTAATCATAATTTCCAAACTGACTCGATGACATCTATCAACGACAATAATCATGATTTACAAGGTAATTGAAGTCATATTTCTACTGTGGATTAGAATATAGGGGGGCAACTTATATTTTAGAATGAAGATTTTTAAATGGGTCCTTCATGGCTTACAAGAATGGGGACGTCTTAGTGAAGTTTCTAAGAACCTTCCACAATTCCTGTCCAGCAATGTAAGATTTTAGGAAGGCATTTTTAGGAATTATCCAGATACAGTAATAAGAGTCAAAACCAAACCAAACCTACTGCTATCAGAGAAATTCTGACCCATAGCAGCCTTTTTGGAAAGAGAATTACTCTTTATGCTTTCCCAAGCTGTACATCTTATGGTAGCAGACAGCCTCATCTTTCGCCCTTAGAGAGCCTGGTAGGTGAAAACTACTATCCTTTTGGTTAGGACCTGAGTTCTTAACCCACTATCCATCAAGGCTCATTTAAATAAGAGAACAAGGAAGAAAATAGGCGGAGTTCCCCTTTGAAGGAGAAAGAGAGCAATGTTATTGCTAAAAGGAATTTGAGATGCTGTTCGGTGCTATCGAGTCAGCCCCAACTCACAGAAAGAAAACACAGTCCTGCGCCATCCTCACACTTGTTCCTATGCCTGAGCCCATTGATGCAGCCACTGTGTCAATGCATCTCATCCAGGGTTTTCCTTTTTTGTTGTTGTTGCCGCCCCTTCATGATGATTCACCAAGCATGATGTCCTTCTCCAGGGACTGGTTCCTCCTGACAATTATGTCCAACGTATGTAGGACGAAGTCTTGCCATCCTTACCGCTTAGGAGCACTTGTGTCTTACTTCTTCCAACACAGATTGGTTTGTCCTTTTAGCAGTCTGTGGTACTTCCAATATTCTTCGCCAGCACCACAAGTCCGATGCACCTTCAGTCTTCACTACTCCGTGTGCAACTTTCACATGCATATAAGGCAATAGAGAATACCATGGCTTGGGTCAGGCCCACCTGTCTGCAAAGGAACATCTTAGTTTTTCAATACTCTAAAGCAGCCGATTTACCTAATGCAATGTGTCGTTTGATCTCATGACTGCTGCTTCCATATGCATTGATTGTGTCTCCAAGTATGACAAAATTCTGGACAACTTCAACCTTTTCTCCATTTATCATGATGTTATCTCTTGGTCCAGTTGTGAGGATTTTGCTTTCCTTACCTTGAGTTGTATTCCACACTGAAGACTACAATCCTTGATCTTCATCAGCAAGAGCGTCAGTTCCTCCTCACTTTCATCAAGCACGGTTTTGTCACCTGCATACTGCAGGTTTTTAGTAAGTCTTCCTTCAATCTTGATGCCACGCTTTTCTTCTTATAATCCAGCTTCTCTGATGACTTGCTCCGCATACAGGTTGAATAAATATGGTAAGAGCATACAAACCCCAAAGCACACCTTTCCTGATTTTAAGCCATACAGTCTTCCCTTGTTCTGTTTGCACAACTACCTCTTGATCCATGTGCAAATTCCGAATGAGCACAATGAGCTGTTCTGGAATTCCTATTCTTCTCAAGGTCATCCACAGTTTATTATGGTCCACAGAATCAAATGCATTTGCATAGTCGATGAAACACAAATAAATGTATTTCTGGGAGCCTCTGCTTTCAGGCAGGCAAGTTCCATCTGACATCAGCAATGATGTCCCTTGTTTCACACCGTCTTCTGAATCTGGCGTGAACTTCTGAAAATTGCCTGTTAAGGTGTTGCTGCAACAGTTGTATGATCGTAAGCAAAATTTTGCTTGTGTGCAATATCAATGATATCATTCTTTAGTTTGATCATTCTGTTGGGCCACCTTTCTTTGAAATGAGCCCAAATAGGAGTCTTGTCCAGTCAGTTGGCCAGGAGGCTGTCTTCCAAATTAGCTGGTATAGACTAGTCAGTGCTCCCAGTGCTTCTTCAGCTTTCTGAAACATTTCAATGGGCATTGTTCATTCTTGGTGGCTTGCTTTCAGTTCATTGTTTTCAGTGCAGTTTGAACTTCTTCCTTCTGCATTGTTGGTTCTTGCTCATATGCTACCTCCAGAAATGATGGACTGTCAACTAATTTTTATTTTGGTACAATGACTCTGTATTCTTTGCAACTTCTCTTGATGCTTCCTGCATCATTCAATATTTCACCTATAGAATCTTTCAAAATTGCAATATGAGGCTTGAATTTTTCTTGTGTTTTTTTTCCAGTTTCAGATATATTGAGTGTGTCCTTCCCTTTTGTTATTCTAATTCGAGGTCCTTTCACATTTTGTTAAAATATTTGGATTTGTCTTCTTGAGTTGCCCTTAGAAATTTTCTATTTAGCTCCTTGACTTCATCCTTTCTTCCATTTACTTTAGCTACCCTGAGATTAAGAGCAAGTTTCACAGTCTCTTCTGATATCCACTTTGACATTTTCTTTCTTTCCTGTCTTTTTAATGACCTATTGCTTTCTTTGTAAATGATGGTCTTGATGTACTCAATGCGTCAAATCTGTTCTTGAGATGTTCTGGAAATTCAGGTTGGATAGACTCATGGTCATGCTTTGGCTCCTGTGGACTTGTTTTCATTTTCTTCCACCTTATCCAGAATTAACATAGGAGCAATTGCTGATCTTTTCTACAGATGGCCCTTGGTCTGGTTTTAGCTGTTGATAGTGTGCTTCTCTATCATGTCTTCTGACATATGTGGTAAATTTGATTTCCATGTATTCCATCTGGGGAAGTCCATGTGCATGTTTACCTTTTGTGTTGTTGAAAAAGGTATTTACTATGAACAAGTCATTGATTTTACAAACTTCTGTCATGTAATCTCCAGATTCATTTCTATCCCCAAGTGTATATTTTCCAACTACTATTCCTTCCTCTTTGTTTCCCACTTTTTCATTTGATCAATGCATCTTGATGCACATTTGATCAATTTTTAACTGTATTTGTTGGTAGAATTCTTTGGTTTCTTCATCACTGGATTTTCTGATTGGTGCATAAATTTAAATATTAGTTGTATTGATTGGATTTTCTTGGAGACAGATAGATATAATATAAGCACACATAGCATTTACTTCACGATGTAATTAGCAAGATTCTTTCTGACAATGAATGATAAGTCATTCCTCTTGATTTTGTTATTCTTTGCATAGTAAATCATGTGATTTTCTGATTTCAAAATGGCCAAGATCAGTTCATTTTAGCTCACCAGTACTTAAGCTATTGTATTAGTCTGGGTACTTTGGAGAAACAAATCCACAGCAACTCATATATAAGAGAGTTTTATGTAAAGAAAGTGTGCATCATGAAAACATCCCAACCCAATGTTGCCCAAGCCCACAAGTCCAACATTAACCCATTAACCCAACACCAG